CACTCTCAAACACAATCGTGCCTTATAGTGGAGACAATCAAATGCCACTTAATTGTAATCTTGAGGCCCACAATCAAGTCAAAGGTATGGGGTCACTGAGGTTAAACCCATCAGTCATCTTGTATGAGAGAGCAGCCTATGCTTCTCTGGCCTATTGCAACTTTTACTTCATTCATCTACATCTTAAATGTTAGCTTGTGTGAAAATCAATTTTAACTTCTCAATTCTATACTCGTAACATTCACCCGCTAACATCCCAGCGAGTACATTCCGCACCTTGTCTATATTACTTTTGTATCCATAAGACCCAAGACATAAGACATAGCAGCAGACATTAGGCCATTCAGCCCACTGAGTCTGCTCTGCCATTCAATCATGGCTGCTAAGTTTCTCAACCTCACCTTCTCCCTGTAACCTTTGATCCCCTTAACAATCAAGAGCCTATCTATCTCTGCCTTAAATATACTCAATGACCCGTCCTCCACAACCTTCTGTGCCACAGATTCACCACTCTCTGGCTGAAGTTTCTCCTCATTTCCATTCTAAAGGGTCTTCCCTTTATTCTAAGGCTGCGCCCTCAGGTCCTAATCTCTCCTGCCAATGGAAAAATCTTCCCAATGTCCACTCTATCCAGGCCTTTCAGTATTTTCTAAGTTTCAATTAGATCCCCCCCCATCCTTCTAAACTCCATCAAGTATAGACCCAGAGTCCTCAAATGTTCCTCATATGTTAAGCCTTTCATTCCTGGGATCATTCTTGTGAACCTTGTCTGGACCCACTCCCAGACCAGTACATCATTCCTGAGATATGGGGCCCAAAATTGCTCACAATATTCTGTATGTAGTCTGACCAGACCCTTAAAGCCTCAGAAGACCATCCCTTCTTTTATATTCTAGTCCTCTCCAAATAAATGCCACCATTGCATTTGCCTTCCTAACTATCAACTCAACCTGCAAGTTATCCTTAAGAGAATCCTAGACTAGGACTCAAGTCCCTTTGCACTTCAGATTTCTGCATTTTCTTCCCATATAGAAAATAGTCTATACTTCTATTCTTCCTACTGAAGGACACTGCCTGAAGGACAAAGCCTCACACTTTCCCTATGTTGCATTCCATCTGCCACTTTTTTGCCCACTCTCCTAACCTGTCTAAGTCATTCTGCAGCCTCCCCACCTCTTCAATACCACCGGTTGTATCATCTGCAAACTTAACCAGACTGCCCTCCGTTCCTTCACCTACATCACTAAATATAAAGTGAAAAGTTGTAGTCCCAACACTGATCCTTGTGGAACTCCACTAATCACCAGCTGCCACTCTGTTTTCTGCAGACAGCCAATCTTCTATACATGCCAGTAACACCATGGGCTCTTATCTTACTCAGCAGCCTCCTGTGCAGCATCTTGTCAATGTCCTTTGGCATGTCCAAGTAGATAACATCCATTGGCTCTCCTTTGGGGACGTAACAAGCAGGTTAGACAAACAATTCTAACAAATTTGTCAGGCACGACCTCCCCTTGATGAAACCATGCTGACTATGCCCTATTTTACTATGCACTTCCAAGTATTCAGAAATCTCATCCTTCACAATGGACACCAAAATCTTAGCAATGGCCTAGATCAGGCTAAGTTGGCCTGGAAATTCCCTCTTTTGCCTTATTCTCTTCTTAAAAAGGGGGATTGCGTTAGCCATTTTCCAGTCCTCTGGCACCCTCCCTGACTCCAGTGATTCCTGAAAGATCACCACTAACACCTCCACTATCTCTTTGATCTCCACGATCTCTGGGGAATAGACTATCCAAGTCCAGGTGATTTATCACCTTCAGACCTTTCAGTTTTTCTCACGCCTTTTCCTTGCTGATGGCTACCATAATCACCTCTGCCTCCCAACTCAAATTTTTGGGAGGTTACTCATGTCTTCCACCATGAAGACTGATGCAAAGTACTCATTCAGTTCCTCCACCTTTGTTCCCAATTACTACTTCTCCAGTGTCATTTTCCAGTGGCCCAGTGTCCACTTTTGCCTCTCTTTTACCCTTTATATATCTAAAGAAACTTTCACAATCTTCTTTTATGTTACTGGCTAGCTTACCCTCATATTTAATCTTCTCCCTCCTTATAGAACATAGAACATTACACCGCAGTACAGGCCCTTCGGCCCTCGATGTTGCGCCAACCTGCGAAACCAATCTGAAGCCCATCTAACCTAAACTATTCCATTATCATCCATATGTTTATCCAATGACCATTTAAATGCCCTTAAAGTGGGCGAGTCTACTATTTTTGCAGGCAGGGCATTCCACGCCCTTACTACTCTCTGAGTAAAGAACCTACTTCTGACATCTGTCCTATATCTATCACCCCTCAATTTAAAGCTATGTCCCCTCGTGCTAGCCATCACCATCCGAGGAAAAAGGCTCCCACTGTCCACCCTATCTAATCCTCTGATCATCTTGTATGTCTCTATCAAGTCACCTCTTAACCTTCTTCTCTCTAACGAAAACAGCCTCAAGACCCTCAGCCTTTCCTCATAAGACCTTCCCTCCATACCAGGCAACATCCTGGTAAATCTCCTCTGCACCCTTTCCAATGCTTCCACATCCTTCCTATAATGCGGTGACCAGAACTGTACGCAATACTCCAAGTGCGGCGGCACCAGAGTTTTGTACAGCTGCAACATGACCTCATGGCTCCGAAACTCAATCCCTCTACTAATAAAACCTAACATACTGTACGCCTTCTTAACAACGCTATCAACCTGGGTGGCAAATTTCAGTGATCTATGCACATGGACACCGAGATCTTTCTGCTCATCCACACTACCAAGAATCTTACCATTAGCCCAGTACTCTGTATTCCTGTTACTCCTTCCAAAGTGAATCACCTCACACTTTTCCACATTAAACTCCATTTGCCATCTCTCAGCCCAGTTCTGCAGCTTATCTATGTCCCTCTGTAACCTGCAACATCCTTCCGCACTATCCACAACTCCACCAACTTTGGTGTCATCCGCAAATTTACTAACCCATCCTTCTATGCCCTCATCCAGGTCATTTATAAAAATGACAAACAGCAGTGGCCCCAAAACAGATCCTTGAGGTACACCACTAGTAACTGAACTCCAGGATGAACATTTCCCATCAACCACCACCCTCTGTCTTCTTACAGCTAGCCAATTTCTGATCCAAACCGCTAAATCACCCTCAATCCCATGCCTCCGTATTTTCTGCAATAGCCTACCATGGGAAGCCTTATCAAACGCTTTACTGAAATCCAAATACACCACATCAACCGCTTTACCCTCATCCACCTGTTTGGTCACCTTCTCGAAGAACTCAATAAGGTTTGTGAGGCACGACCTACCCTTCACAAAACCGTGTTGACTATCCCTAATCAAATTATTCCTTTCTAGATGATTATAAATCCTATCTCTTATAATCCTTTCCAACACTTTACCCACAACCGAAGTAAGGCTCACTGGTCTATAATTACCAGAGTGGTCTCTACTCCCCTTCTTGAACAAGGGGACAACATTTGCTAGTCTCCAGTCTTCTGGCACTATTCCTGAAGACAATGACGACAAAGATCAAAGCCAAAGGCTCTGCAATCTCCTCTCTAGCTTCCCAGAGAATCCTAGGATAAATCCCATCCGGCCCAGGGGACTTATCTATTTTCACACCTTCCAGAATTGCTAACACCTCCTCCTTATGAACCTCAATCCCGTCTAGTCTAATAGACTATATCTCAGTATTCTCCTCGACTACATCATCAGTATTCACACAGGGAAAAAACAAAAAATATTCATTTAGCACCTCTCCTATCTCTTCAGACTCCACGCACAACTTCCCACTACTGTCCTTGACCGGCCCCAATCTTACTCTAGTCATTCTTTTATTCCTGACATACCTATAGAAAGCTTTAGGGTTTTCCTTGATCCTACTTGTTAAAGACTTCTCATGTCCCTTCCTGGCTAACTTGTAACTCTCAAGCGCCCTAACTGAGCCTTCACGCCTCATCTCTACATAAGCCTCCTTCTTCCTCTTGACAAGAGATTCAACTTCTTTAGTAAACCACGGTTCCCTCGCTCGACCACTTCCTCCCTGCCTGACAGGTACATACTTATCAAGGACACGCAGTAGCTGTTCCTTGAACAAGCTCCACATTTCAATTGTGCCCAGCCCCTGCAGTTTCCTTCTCCATCCTATGCATCCTAAATCTTGCCTCATTGCCTCATAATTGCCTTTCCCCCAGCTATAACTCTTGCCCTGCGTTATATACCGATCCCTTTCCATCGCTAAAGTTTCTTTTTTAAGTTGTCCTCTGTTCGTCTTTGTAGGCTTTCCAATCCCCTGCCTTACCACAGCCCTTCACCGCACATATGCTTTCTCTTTTGATTTAATGCTGTCTATGACTTCCCTGGTCAGCCATGGTATCCTCATTGTCCCTTTAGTATCCTTCTTTCTCCTAGGGATAAATTTTAGCTGTGTCTCCCAAATTACTCTCTGAAACTCTTGCCATTGTTGTTCCACTGACCCTCCTGCTCGGCTCCTCTCCCAGTCAATTCTGGCCAGCTCTTCCCTCACGCTTCTGTCGTTACCTTTATTCAACTGTAATGCCGTTGCATCTGATTCCAGCTTCTACCTTTCAAATTGCAGAGTAAATTCTATTATATTGTGGTCACTGCCTCTGAGGGGGTCCTTCCACCTTAAGCTCCCTTATCAAGTCTGTCTCATTATACATCACTAAATCCAGAATTTCCAGTTTCCTAGTGGGTTCACCACAAGCTGCTCAAAAAAGCCTTCTCATAGATGTTCTTTATATCCTTCCTATAATGTAATTCCCAAAACTGCACACCACATTACAACTGATCTTCTGTACACACTTGCTAGTTACATGCTTAGACAACAATAAGGAGAAGAACACTAGCAGCCACATAAGACACAAATTGATCAATAACAATAAAAGACGCTTGAATCTCTAGTTTATTGCCAATAATGACTTACCTCGAATACAAAGAGAATGGAGTCCAGCTCCTCCCTCTGTGACTTATTCCCTAAATCCACACCAAAAGAAAGAAAAATGAGCAATTTCTGTATTTTCAAACACAATTCGCACGGGTCATATGAACTTGGGGAAAAAAACGTATCGTATATGACAAGAAAGCACCACAAAGTAGTTCAGCTGGCTCTTGAAAATCAAAGCCAAAAGATCTATTTTGCACGAACACTTAGTAATTACTAGTTATTAATAATTTCAAAATAGTAAGACAGATGAAGCAATTTAATAAGATAAACATAATGGAGGTTAATGGTAAGTTTACAAAGGGATAAAGCTGTAATTATGCCATATGACACTCAGTAATGGAGTGTGAATCATTAACGAGTTATTCAAAACTTGGAATTAATATATTCATTGCATACAAAAGCACAAGGGCTCCACAGTCTCTGCAACATCCAGGTTTTCCTGTAATTGATTAGCTTGTGCTAGATATAAACCCTGTCTCTGAAGAGACTCCCTCACCCAATCCCCAACCCTACTTCCATTTTCATTGATGGGCTTTGCTGAAACTCAAGTGGTATCTCGATGCCAAATTCACCACCATTGACCATATTTAGTCAATGAGGTTCACAACTGGATGACCCTAGTGAAACCCCTCGATATCAGTATATAGGCTTTTGATGATTAAGTGTCACTTGATAGCGTTACTTGCTATTGGTTGAAGTTGTAATATACTGATGAAGTGGTATTTGGCAGGACTGAAGTCCTGCTTTTTGTGAACTATACTGGGCAAAACTGTCAGGTGTTGATATGCCAGTGGTGTTGATATACAGGAACAACTTAGCCAGAGATGCAGTTTGTTCTGGAGCACTAAACATGGGATGTTGGCAAGGCCCATAGACTGAGCTTTATCCAGTACTCGGTGCCATTTCTACCCATATAGTTAACTATTTGATTATGCACCCCCAATCATAACTAGATGTGGTAGCAATGCAAAGTTTTGATCCATATACTCAATTACACAGATCGATTACACATCATTAACATAATTATTCCTTTAAAAACCAAAACTGTCGATGCTTTAAATCAGAAACAAAAACAGAAATTGCTAGAAAATCTCAGCAGGTCTGGCAGCATCTGTGGAGAGAAATCACAGTTAACATTTTGGTTCCAGTGGCCATTCCTCAGAACAGAATAATACCTTTCTTGCACTGGGTAATCAACATCCATTTGTTATGGTGGCAGTAGGTCACTGCTGGAAGTTTTCAGGTATGATAAACTCCTCAAAAGAAATTGTCATGAATTTTCCTGAAACTTTGTCATGCAAGCAGTGAGGCAAAATTGTGTCTTTATAAGATATTATATGCACAGATTTTCAAATTGCTTTCCTTTCCCCACAGTTCAGTCTATTGGCAACTAGCCGATCTTTGTAGTTCCACATGCTCTATAACATAGCAGTATTGTTATTTCAAAACAAAGGAAGTAATGTATTATCTTGGGCTATAGCAAGCAATTCTGCCAGTCAGATTCATCCATCCATTCAATTATGAAACATATATAAATAAAAATATACATAAATAAATATAAATAAACATAACTTCTATTTTTTAGTAGCTTGAGCTGTATAATTTCCATTGTTTCTCATTAGTTAAGCTTCATCAATATATCTGATCAAGAACCAGAAAATTTTCCATGCAGGCAGGAAGTAAACACATATTAGATCAATGCAATAAGAATGTTCAATGGTTTAGAAACATCCTAGGCAACTAAAAGAAAATTCAGAATATCACATCTTTATCCCCTGAGCATTTCACTGGAAAAAAAATAGCATGGTAGAAGGAATAACATCATCTCTTCATTGATGCTACCATACCCAAGCTTTCCAAGACTGATTACTTAGTGGTATAATTGGTGTGCCACTGCTTATTGGTTTCAATGGAGCAATGACAGTAAAAAGGGGGAAAAAAAGTTAGCCATAAAACATTGGCCAAGATTCTACTGAAACGAAGTATCTTAAAGTGTTGATCGTTAGTGAGATTTTTCCTACACCTTTTGACGTGAAAATTTTACTCTAATTGCTGAACGTGCAAGCTGATAACAGTATGTTGTAAAGATCTTTGCCTTTGAGAAAAATTTGTTCTGTCCTGGTTCTCTTGATATTATAAACCTGCTGCCGAGGTATCTGCTCCACAGAAAGCAGAGTAAATAGTTTTGGATTTTTTTTTAAAAAAAGAAGCAGACAACAAAAGCACCAGGTCACACAGACCCTGAATTTCAGTTTTGCTTTCAGTTGTTGAAGTTGGGGTTTTGGAGTTGAATCTGCTAGATACTGCTCTCTACTGCTGGAAAAGCTCGAGTTGCCTCTCTGCTACTCGACTCATTCTGTTGGCGTTCCTTCTCTTGGACTTCCTTCTCTTGGACTGGGTGAGATAGCAAGTGAGGGAAATCTGTTTTGTTGAATTTACCTTTGCCAAGGGCATGTTCATGTGATGCTGCCATATTGGAACAGTAAAGGAGTAGCAGTTAAATAATATTATTTTAAGCATTTTTATGCTAATTAATTTTACATTTGTATTTTAACCGTGGTGTAAGAATAAAATGTGTTTTGCTGAAAGCCGAGTAGTTTGACCAAACAAATCACATCTGGAACACCACACCTTACACTTCCTCTTAAATAAGATAAAAGTTAGGGTCTAGACTATCTCCTTGATATGTTTTGAGGGAGTTTGGTCTGATCCATCATGATGAGGGTAAAACAACATCTGGCATGTTAATGAACATTGGAACAAACAGTTTAGGCTCCTTGACCAACCAGACTGTAAAAAATGAGAAATAAACAAGTAAAATGGAAATGAATTGAATAAAAGTCCAATCAAGAACAAAAACAGATTATAATTACAGACAGGGAATAGATGTACAAATAAAAATTTAAAAACAACAAATTCATTTGTTTCTCCCAAATCCAGAAAAATTTGCTACATGTAAGAAACCAACACAATTTAAAGTTAGAGATAGTAGGAACTGCAGATGCTGGAGAATCCGAGACAACAAGGTGCAGGGCTGGATGAACACAGCAGGCCAAGCAGCATCATAGGAGCAGATTCCATTTCTGGGTCAATAGGTCGATTTGCACATTAACAATTGCCAAATCATGAAAAATCTAATTATATTCTCAACTCCTCTTATAATATATTTTGTGGTGAGTTAAATGGGTAATTATTATGGAAATCCAATACATTCCTAGAAATTAACAAGGAAGCAAAGGACAAGATGCCAGCTGTGCAAAGCAAAAGATGGAATGGTGTAAATCAACCAGCAGGTCTTGGAGATTCACAACATACCTCAAACTTACTGGCCAATTGGCACATTAATAATAGCATGCATTATTAACGTTCTGTTCTTTTCCCAGCAAGTTCTAAACAGTGTTTATCATCATGCCATACATGGCCTTAAAGAGTGCATACAGCATTGAAGCCGCATGGCATGCCTGCTAAAACAGAAAGCTTTAGAACGTAAACCAGAAATATTCAAATTACTGCACGTGATGAGTATAAATACAGTTCATACAATATACTTGGTTTATTCATATTTTAAATATAAATGATTCAACATCCAAGGGAAAAGTGTACAGCTGAATGCAAGAACTTTTGCACAAACACAAAACAGGGAACTAAATTTTCAGTAATCATTCTTACCTTTTTGTTTTAAACTACTTTCCAGTGTGAACAGATTTTCAAAGAATATAAAATAAATCTGAGAGTAGTTGGTTTCAAAGAACTGCTTCAGTTCACTTCTTTCCAAAGTATCTGTAATAATAAACAATACATACTGTCACATGAAAGCAAAAGGAGATGGTATTAAAAGTTTAGGTGAGAAAAACAGATTACAGCCAGATCAGTATGTGATTGGGGAAACAAAGGGCTTACATCTGACAGATGACATTTAATATAGAAGATATATTATTAGGTACATAAATAGAAACACCAAGCACATGTACATTAAGCAGGGCTGCATGCTTAAGTCTCCAACACAGGAGACAGTGCATTAACATCAGAGAATCCAAGACCAGTTCCACAAGGTTACTGCAAAAGCATTTGGAGCGCTGGGTTATACTACAAGAATGAACAAATGCAAAAATAAAAAAAGTGGTACCTTCATAGAAGACCTTCACTAAGACTCATTTAGAATATTGTGATCAGTTCTGGTCCCTTAGAAGGTTCAAATGTGGACTACTCCTTGGCACCTAATTTTTGCAATAGCCATTATCTTCACATAATTGTGCATTTGAGGGAGATTTCATTTGTTTCTAAAATAATGTAAGGGTTACATGTGATTCAGCAATTTCAGTTAGAAGTTTAGAAGAGTCAAGGGAGACAGTAGCAAAAGTGATTTAAGCAGATGAAGATGCCAGGTACGAGGTGCAGCAACACTAAGAGAGATGGGCAAGTTCATAAAAGCTGCCAAGACAACTGCGTGTAAGGTGAGAAATCACACGACACCAGATTATAGTCTGACAGGTTCATTTGAAAACACAAGCTGTCACAGCCTCGCTCCTCCTTCAAGTGTAAGTGAGAGAGGTGGCATCAAACACACAAGTTATAAGTAAAAGATCAGAGGGCCACACAACTAACGAGGATGTATTAAACAAACCTAAGATGCTGTTAAATCTTTAATCAGTTAAAAGGTTTCGATTGATTAATATGTATATGTAAACCCCTGAATCAGTGTAAAGAAGAAGTGACATTTTAGGTCAGACAATGCACGTTAGGCACGAGACCTTGTTAAGAATCTGTTGGTGTTTCGGTTTGGAGTCAGACTGGTTTTATTTCTAAAGTAGGAATTTACAAACTGCCACTTTGACTGACTATCTATAAACTTTGTGCTTTTTGAACAAAATAGGATGTATCCACAAATACAAACTGACCCTATAGATTTACATGTATGCACGTGCATACGGGAGAGAGACAGAGAGAGAGAGCGCGAGACACCGAGAGACAGTAAGAGAGACAGACACACAGACAGCGCGAGAGCGAGAGAGAGAGACACACACACAGACACACACACACAGAGAGAGAGAGACACAGAGAGCACGAGCGAGACAGAGCGTGCAAAAGTGAGCAGGGGGAGCGCACGCGTGGGGGAAAGAGAGCCTGCGGGGGCGGGGTGAGGGGTAGTGGTTTATGAGAGAGAGTGTGCATAGTGTAGTATCCCAGGGTCTGTGACTCTGCGTTGTTGTGCACCCCAAAGTTCTTTACGGAGAGGGTGGTGGGTGCCTGGAATGCATTGCCAGTGGAGGTGGTAGAGGCAGGCATGATAGCATCATTTAAGATGTATCTAGACAGATACACGAGTGGGCAGGGAGCAGAGGGACACAGATCCTTGGAAAATAGGTAACAGGTTTAGATACAGGATCTGGATTGGCGCAGGCTTGGAGGGCCGAAGGGTTTGTTCCTGTGCTGTAATTTTCTTTGTTCTTTGTTCTAAAGTTCACCTTGGAGGACGTTTACCCGAAGATCTGAGGCTGAATGGCCTTGACCGCCAAAGTGATCCCCCACTGGCAGTGACCATCCCTGTCTGGTGATTGTTGCACGGTGTCCTTTCATCTGTTGTCATAGCGTATGCATGGTCTCACCAATATACCATGCCCTGGGGCATCCTTGCCAGCAGCGTATGTGATAGACAACGTTGGCCAAATCACATGAATATCTGCCATGCACATGGTGGGTGGTGACTGCACATGTGATAGTGTCCATGTTGAAGATCTGACATATCTAGCAGAGGTTGCCATGACAGGGTTGTACAAAGTTGTGGTCAATGTTGTCCTGAATTAGTTTGCTGCAAACAATGGTCTAAGGTTTGGTGGTTGTCTGAAGGCAAGAAGTGGAATCACGGGGATGATCGTGGTGAGGTGCTCATTATCGATGACAATGTTTTGAAGGCCTCAAAGAACATGGTGTAGTTTCTCCTCTCCTGGGCACTACTGGACGACAAAGGATACCCGATCGGTTGTATCCAGTGTCTGTCTTCTGAGGAGGTCATTACAGTTCCTCGCTGTGGCACGTCTGAGCTGGTGATCGATGAGTTGAGCATCATATCCCATTCCAACGAGGACGTACTTCAACATCTTCAGGTGTCCACTGCGTTCCTCCTAATCTGAATAGATCCTGTGTATGTGTGGGGTTTGTCCGTAGGGGATGGCTGTTAATACGTTTAGGGTGGAAGCTGGAGAAGTGCAGCATTGTGAGATTATCCGTAGACATGCAGTAGAGTGAGGCATGGAGGTGTCTGTCCCTGATGGAGATGCTTGTGTCCAAGAATGAGATGGATTCTGAAGAGTTGTCTATGGTAAGTCTGATGGTGGGCTGAAACTTGTTGATATCGCTAAATGGATTTACATATACATATTAAAATAGATTAAAACCTTCTAACTGATTAAAGATTTAACAGTGTCTTAGGTTTGTTTAATACATCCTCATCAGTTGTGCGACACTTTGATCTTTTACTTAAATTCTGTGTCTGATGCCACCTTTCTCACTAACACCTGAAGAAGGAGCGAGGCTCTGAAAGCTTGTTTTCAAATAAGCTGTTGGTCTATAACCAGGTGTTGTGAGATTTCTGACCTTGTCTACTGCAGTCCAACACCGGCACTTCCATGTAGCTGTGTACGGACACAGGACGGATATATAGTTACTCCCAGGCTCAATGGTGTCCTGGAACATGTCAAAAGTAGAAGAAAGGAATTTCCCAAAGTTGCTTTTCCTAAATTGGCCTACTACTCTTTTTTATGCCTCTTGCAATAAATGAAGAGATTAGCAGCAAGGAGAGCTCCGTTTACATACAAAACCATATGGTACAGGCTAAAAAAAAAACGCTGCTCTCTTGCTAGCTGTCATTTTCATATGTGCATATGAATTGTCCAAAGGATGCAAGGTTAGAAAACTGGATGGGAATAAGTCAAGAATAATGGAAAGGTTAGCTACACCGACAAAGGTTCATCTAATGGAGTAAAACAGGGATTTAAAAATGTAAAGTTCCAACAGGGGTAGCACGTTTGACAAATCTGAATTAATCAAAACATTCAGCTAAAGAGAAAGGGAATGGCATATATGATTTTATATGGATTTTCAAAAGGAAAACAGTTCAACAAGAGGCTTAAATACTAAAACTATATATACATCTAGAGTAAAGTCATTGGATGTGGACAGAGATAGTTATTAAATTGACAAGAGTGGAAATTAACCTTTTTCCATATTAACGTGTGCCCAGAAATTAGGCTAGAACTCTTCCAATTTGCAGATAGATACAGGAGGAAATTGCATCAAAATTTTAGGCTTGCACCAAAAGGGGGTGTGGCAAGTTGTGAAAAAAAATGCAAAAACGCCATGATAGGTCATCGTGTAGACAGAGGTAGCAGATGGGGTGGCTTGCAAGGTTGCATATATAGGAAACGGGGTAAATTTATTTCACTCATCCAAGCAGTAGGATGTTTAGATGAGGGGAAGAGGGATATTTTGTGGTGCAAACGCATAGATCTTTAAACTGAGAATTAAGATACCAATGGCCATAAAGGCATACATATTCTAGGTTTCATATACAGAACACTGAATATCTACAGGACATTTACTGAACCATACTTGGGACACTGTGCAGTTATACTAGAATTAGAAATAGAATTAGGTTTTATTGTCATATGTACTCAAGTACAGAAGTAGAGGAGCACAGTGAAAAGTGTACAAAGTCACCGTTCTCTAGTGCCATCCTCGGTACAAAAAAACCCAAATTTTAAAAACAAAACAAGCATCTTGGATACAGAAACCAAAACAACCACCTAAGATACAAAATCCAGAATTGCAAAAACACAAAAGCATAAACATGCTATAGGAAGCATTTTAGTCCAGAGAAAAAGAGGTCAAATAAAGTTTGAGAGCATAGAACAGTACAGCACAGCACAGGCCCTTCGGCCCACGATGTTGTGCCAACCTATTATCCTACTAAGATCAATCTACCCTGCATTTTATTATCCTCCATGTGCCTATCCAAGAGTCGCTTAAATGTCTCTGAAGTCTCTGACTCCACTACCACTGCCGGCAGCGCATTCCACACGCTCACCACTCTGTGTGAAGAACCTACCTCTGACATCTCCCCTATACCTTCCTCCAATAACCTTAAAATTATGCCCCCTTGTAATAGTCATTTCCGTCCTGGAAGAAAAAAAGTCTCTGACTATCCACTCTATCTGTGCCTCTCATCATCTTGTAAACCTCTATCAAGTCACCTTTCATCCTTCTTCACTCCAATGAAAAAAGCCCTAGCTCCCTCAACCTTTCTTCGCAAGACCTGCCCTCCAGTCCAGGCAGCATCCCGGTAAATCTCCTCTGCACCCTCTCTAAAGCGTCCACATCTTTTCTATAGTAAGGTGACCAGAACTGAACACAATATTCCAAATGTGGTCTGACCAGAATTTTATAGCATAACCTCACGGCTCTCAAACTCAATTCCCCTGCCAATGAAAGCCAACACACCTTCCTTACAACCCTATCAACTTTGAAGGATCTAGGAACGTGGACCCCAAGATCCCTCTGTTCCTCCACACTGCTAAGAATCCTGCCATTAACCCTGTATTCTGCATTCAAATTCAACCTTCCAAAATGAATCACTTCACACTTTTCTGGGTTGAATTCCACCTGCCACTTCTTTGGCCAGCTCTGCATCCTGTCAATGTCCCATTGCAATCTACAACAGCCCTCCACGCTGTCCACAACTCCACCAACCGTCGTGTCATTGGCAAACTTACTAACCCACCCTTCCACTTCCTCATCCAAGTCATTTATAAAGATCACAAACAGCAGAGGTCCCAGAACAGATCACTGCAGAACACCACCAGTCACCAAGCTCCAGGCTGAATACTTTCCGTCTACTACCACCCTCTGTCTTCTATTGGACTGCCAGTTTTGTATCAAGACAGCCAAATTTCCCTGAATCCCATGCCTCCTTACTTTCTGAATGAGTCTATCATGTGGAACCTTATCAAATGCCTTGCTAAAATCCATATACACCACATCCACTGCTCTACCGTCATCGAAGTGTTTTGTCACATCCTCAAAGAATTCAGTAAGGATTGTGAGGCATGACCTGCCCCTCACAAAGCCATGCTGACTATTTCTAATCAAACTGTCCTTTTCCAAATCATCATAAATACGATCTCTCAGAATCCTCTCCAATAATATGTTAGAAGTTAGGTTGAAGTAATGAAGAAGAAATCATTACAACAGCCAGGTTAAAAGGAAGAAAACAGTGACTTTCAAAATTCTGAAAGATTATTTCCATAAGTGCTGAACCCATAACAAGTGGGCACTCAGTCAGAATGATCAGTAAAAGAATATAAGCAAAGTTACAGGCAGGACATGCTGTCTGCCAAATCCTATCAAAATGCTAATGGCAAAATTGCAACAGCAATTGAAAATTAATTCATAGAATCCCTACACTACAGAAACAGGTCCTTCAGCCCAACAAGTCCACACTGACCCTCAGACATCCCACCCAGATCCATCCGCCTGTAACCCAGCTAATCTACACATCCCTGACACTGCAGGCAATTTAGCACGGCCAAGCCACCTTTTCTGAAGAAGGGTCTGGGCCCGAAACGTCAGCCTTCCTGCTCGGCCTGCTGTGTTCATCCGGCTCTACACCTTGTTATCCCACCCAGCCTGTACATCTTTGGACTGTGGGAGAAAACCAGAGCACCCAGAGGAAACCCACGCAGACACTGGGAGAATATGCAAACTCCACACAGACAGTTGCCCGAGGGTGGAATTGAACTCGGGTTCCTGGTGCTGTGAGGCTGTAGTGCTAACCACTGAACCACCATGAATGAAGAATTTTTAAAGAAGGTATACAAGATACAGCTATGTGCAGATAAATGTAGCAAAATTGTTCCCTGTTAGGAGCAAGGCGAAATGCTGCTGCAATTTCTCTAATTCTATGGATCGTTGCCTTCAGGGCAAATCAGACCCTCAAAACTTAACGATGCAATTGCAATTTCATGACCCCTGGAGGGGGGGGGGGGGGGGTGGAATTACCAGGCAATGAAACTGAATATATCAATTAGAATCACAGAA